GAGCCTCCTGTGCCCAGCTGGGATGAACAAAGGACACAAGAAAGATCCCTGAGACCCAATCCGGGGCTCTTGCTGGAGTTGTTGGTGAGAGAAGAAAATTGGCCATCATCTCCGCCGCGGCTGCTGAGGCCAGCTTGTCACCACAAAGGGAAAAGATACCTGAAAGCTGACGGACAGACAGATGACGCCTGGTGCCGTGCCAGCAGATCCCGCACACTTAAAGCCTGGCACCAGCTGGCCTTTTCAGTAAGGTGAGCCGGTAAGTTCCCTTTTTTCCCCCTCAAGTCAATTTGAGTTATATTTTCTTTTCTTTTTTTCTTTTTCTTTTTTCTTTTTGAGACAGAGTCTTGCCTGTTGCCAGGCTGGAGGGCAGTGGCACGATATCAGCTCACTGCAACCTCCTCCTCCCGGGTTCAAGTGATTCTCCTGCCTCAGCCCCCTGAGTAGCTGGAACTACAGGCTCGCGCCACCACTCCTGGCTAATTTTTGTATTTTTAGTAGAGACGGGGTTTTGCCATGTTGGCCAGGAAGGTCTCGATCTCTTGATCTCGTGATCTGCCCACCTCAGCCTCCCAAAGTGCTGGGATTACAGGCGTGAGCCACCGTGCCCAGCCTGAGTCGTGTTTTCTGTCACTTGCAACCACGAGAGTCCTAATGCCAGGGTCTTGGGTTCCAGCCTTCTTGGATGAGAGGCCTTGCCCAGCTCCTGGGTGCTTTGCCAGAATCTCCAGGAGTGAACAGGCCCAGAGGCGATGAAAGGGCTCTCACCTTACAGATGGAGAAACAGGCCCGAAGAAAGAGTGGGGTTCACTCGAGGCCTCCCTGCCCATGGGATCTTCTGGATTCCATTTTGGATTCTCACCCGCGGAGAGGCTTGTTCAACAGAAAGACTTTTGCCCCCTTCCTCTCTTATTGTTAACTCCAGGTCAGTGGTGTGGGCCCAGAGCTAGGCTTGCCAGAGAAAACACAGGACACCCGATTCCACTTGAATTTCAGATCAGCAACAAGTCACTTTTTAGTATACATATGTTCCAAATACTGCACAGGCTACATTCCCACTAAAGAAATGCATCGCTCATCTGAAATTCAAATTTACTCTGGGCGCTGTGTTTATATTTATTTGGCAATGCTATCTAAAGCAGGGTCAGGGGTGCAGGAAGGAAGCAAGGCGACCTCTTTATGAGGAGCAGAGGAAGGGTGGGGGAGGGTGGGTGCTAAGATGTAGCCTCAGATCTTCCCCGTCTCCTGCCAGGATGCCTGCATCACCCACAGTCTGCCTTCAGGACTTCGCAGCTGCCAGGTCAGTAAAAATGTGGCCTAGAGAGCAAAGGTATCAACCATCAACACTCTAGTGTGAATTAGTTTATGAAGCCATACATTTACTTGTTACCCTCAGCTGTGCAGAAGGAAGAAGACTCTGGAGAGAGAGGTGCTGATAAGCCTCTTTCTTCATTTCCGCAGATAATGTAATGATACTTTAAAAGTGGAGAGAAAAAGAGACGTAAGTAAAGGTAAGGTTCTTGTACCTCACTCAGAATGTTGAAGTGGGTAGGAGGTGCAGGAGCTTGGGGAATACCTGAAGTGCTGGTCTTCAGAGCACAAATATGGAATTCGAACTGGTTCCCTGAGCATCAGAACCACAGGAGAGCTTTGAAAAAAAATCCCGATGTCCAGACCACACCCATTCTCATTAAATCAGAGTCCTGGCCAGGCACAGTGGCTCATACCCATAATTCCAGCACTTTGGGAGGTCAGGCAGGAGGACCACTTGAGCCCAAGAGATCAAGACCAGACTGCTCAGTATAGCAAGACCCCATTGCTACAATTTAAAAAAAAAAAAAAACAAGCTGGGCTTGGGTATTTGGTCCCAGCTACTTGGGAGGCTGAGGCAGCAGGATCACTTGAGCCCAGGAGGTGAAGATTGCAGTGCTCGGTGATTGCGCACCGCACTCCAGCCTGGACGACAGAGTGAGACTGTTTCAAAAAACAAAACAGAACAAAACAAAGAAAAACAAAAACCCAGAATCGGCCAGGTGTGGTGGTTCACGCCTGTAATCCTAGCACTTTGGGAGGCCGAGGCGGGTGGATTATGAGGTCAGGAGTTCAAGACCATTCTGTCCAAGATGGCAAAACCCCGTCTCTACTAAAAATATAAAAATTATCTGGGCGTGGTGGCATGTGTCTGTAATCCCGACTACTCGGGAGACAGAGAACTGCTTGAACCCAGGAGGTAGATGTTGCAATGAGCTGAGATTGCACCCTGCACTCCAGACTGGGCAACAGAGCAAGACTCCATCTCAAAAACAAAAACTAAAACAAAACCCAGAATCTCCATGAATGGGTTCCAGCCATCATATTTTTCCCGAGGTGACCCCAGTGCGCAGCCAAATTTGAGAACCAGTGGACATAATAGCTCTGGACAGCGGGTTGTATCTTTGGCGAGGGCTGCTGTGGGTAGGCAGCTGGCTCGGTGCCAGGCATCATGCAGACACCATTTAACTGGATTCCTCTGTAGCCCCACCATGCAGAGCCTGTTAACCTCATGTCCTCAGCAGGACAGGGTCTGCATGGTGGGGCCACAGAGGAATCCAGTGAAATGGTGTCTGCAGGGCAGAGCCTCATGTGGGCACGGCCCTGCCCACAGCCCCTGTGCTGCCCCCAGGCTGTGTGGCTCCAGGCGAGTGCCTTTCGTGTCTGGCCCTGCCAAACGTAGAGAAGGTTGTGCCCACAAGTGTCATCCAGCCCTGCCTGCCAGCTCTCCAGTCAGCGTGGCCACGTGGCGAGGGGCTCAAAGAGTGATAGGGGCATCTTTGTTTTTTTGAGAAAGAGTCTTGCTCACCCTGTTGCCCAGGCTGGAGTACGGTGGCGCGGTCTCGGCCCACTGCAACCTCTGCCTCCCAGGTTCAAGTGATTCTCCTGCCTCAGCCTCATAAGTAGCTGGGATTACAGGTGCATGCCACCACGCCCAGCCCATGTTTTTGTATTTTTAGTAGAGACGGGGGTATCACCATGTTGGCCAGGCTGGTCTCGAATGCCTGACCTTGTGATCTGCCTGCCTTGGCCTCCCAAAGTGCTGGGATTACAGGTGTGAGCCACTGCACCCAGCCAAGAGGGCATCTTGATTGGCAAATGGAGACAGAGAAGGGCCCAAGGGTCAACTCTGGGTGTCCTGGGAATGTCATCAGTGAGAATGAGGTCTCCTTTGCTGGAGGGCTGGGAGGCTTATCTGAAATGGCCTTCATAGACTTGAACAACGACCTTATCCCCCTCACTGCCAATGGAAGCACCTGGGAACTACTGCCATGGGCGACCCATCCCTCCTCCCGGCTCTCTCCAGTGGCCCTTATCCCTGGCACACACTCACTTGGAATCATGTTTCATGCACACTTTGGTCTGTGGTTGCACCTGCCCCTACTTGCACTCGGGCTGTGGACCCACACCTGGTCACCCTGACCGCTAATTCTTGCCTTCCCAGCCTGCCTTGCAGCTGGGGCTGGCCTGGCCCTGTGATGCAAGCCTGGCTCTTAGGATGTAACCAGAATTTGCTGAAAGGTTCTAAAGAAGTTTTGGCTTTCTTGGTGAGAGAGGCCCAGGCGAAAAGATTCCCTCTCCCTGAGTACAGAGCGCTCAGCTGAAGACACAGCAGCCCTGCGGAGACCAGGCCACAGCACGACAGAGACACCGAGGGAAGCTCAGAGGGCACAGCCGGGGCATCGCTGGGCCATTGGGTCCCTTTGGATTTGTTGCTGGATAAAAACTATCCTATCTGCTCAGGCCAGTGGTCCTCCATCAAGGGCGATTTTGCCCCCCAAGAACGTGCAACAACTTCTGGAGATATTTTGGTCCTCGCAACTTGGGGGTTGCTACGGGCATCTAGTGGTGGGGGCTGCAGGAGCACCTCCCCCCCCAGTGAAGAGGGTGGAGGGCGAGAGGCCTGGACTGAGTTTTGTGTTCCTTAGTGTTTGTTTCCTGCAGCCTAAAACACTCCTGGCAGAGAGGCCGCCCTACCACCGAGATTGCTAAAGGGAAGGTGGTCTGAGGAAGCCAAGCCCCTAGGCATGAGGACAGGGCAGGACAGCAGGGCCCGAGCCAGCCTCTGCCACTAGTGCTGGCTAGCCCAAACCTGGTGAACTTCTCACCAGAGCTTTTGGTGTCAAGGGGCAAACACATCAAGGGCTTCCTCCTGTGGACCGCACTGTCCCCACCAGCGCCTTCCGCGCCCTCCCCAACATGCCAGGCGGATAACAGAATGCAACTTTTGATATAAACAAACTCCGTCTTAATGTAGAAAACAAACCTCACTTACATACATAAATATAATTTGGGGGCATAAATAATGTAAGAAAATAAGAGATGTACATATCAAAATAAATTACTCATAAATAGCATGTCGGAAAGCTAAGTGCTGGGGAAAAGGGTGGAAGTCTTTCCCCGCTGCTTCCGCACCGCAAGTGCTGGCAAGACTTGCGGTCTTCAAAGCTTTTCTTTTCCTGATTTTTGAATGAGAAGTGCAGGTTGATATAAAGCAGGGGCCTAGGAAGCCCCAGTCCACAGGGAGACGTGTGAGGACCGTAGAGGGCCAGGTGGGCCAGGAGGCAGAAGCAGTGACACCTGGGACAGCAGTTATTCTCAGCGCAGCATCCACAGCTCTCACAAAAGGAGGGAGAGACCCCAGGTGAGGTGTGGGAGATTTAGGAAGGGGTGCAGTCCTGTGGGTTCCATACCAGAGGGCCCCTTACATCCACACGAGCTGGGCAGATCCCATTCCCTGGAAACTCCATGTCACCATGGCTGGGACTGGCTGTCCTTACTGTCCGTCCCTCTGAGCTGGAGGTAAATGTGGCAGCTCCACTGTCCACCTTAGGGGAACCAGCTCTGAGCCCGGCAAGAGTCAGCTGTGTACAGGATGATGGTGTTCAAAAAGAGGAAGGAAAGTAGGAGAATGATCTTATCTGCCTTGGGGCAGACTAAGGAGTAGCCCAGGGAAGTTTATCCATGGCAGACCCAATCTTAGGGGGAATTCTCAGACGTCCCAGGGCTGGAGTGGGGCTCTGGGCTTGCCTTGCTCCAGAAGCCTGGTGGGCCATGCCTGCTCCAGTCACTTCTGGCCTGGAGGGTTCAGGAACGGCAAACAGTCTCTGGAAGTTGAGATCTAGATCAATTCCCACATGGGGTTGAGTGAAATTTACCTGCTGTTTTACAGAGCTGATCACCTGTTCCTGAAATTAAAACCACTGCCTGTCTCCTGGCTGCTCCTGGGGAAGTGATGAGAAAAAATTAGAGAATTTCAGCTCAACATAGGAATGTTTCCAAAAAAAAATAAGTTCCCCATCAGTGCGGGTGTTCAAGCACAGCAGCTTGTCCGGCAACCTCGGGGGAGTGGGATGGGGGCCCGGGCAGCAGCCGGGCAGGCGTCAGGCTTCCAATGTGATGCTCAGACAAGGCTATCGGCTAGAAACTGGCACGGCCAATGGATAACTCTGCATATGTACACCTTCTAGATGTTTCTTCCTAAAGCTAAACAGAGCGTGGACTCAGGACGGTTCTTGTAGATGCATGGCCCCCACTCTGCCGGTTCCACAGCCCCTGGCACCAGTGAGGGGGCCCGGGCCTGGCCTGAGTTACTTCTCAAAGCTGGGACTGTTCACCGCCTCCAGTCCCGTGACAAGCCCAAATGGGTCCATGCTGTCAGTCTCCAGGGGTGAAGAGAACACGTCAGATTCCAAGTGGCCCCTGAGGTCCTCAGTTTCCTCTGGGGCTATGGGCAGCATGGGCAGGAAATGGGACAACGGAAGAAAGCCTCGTTTCTTGTACAGCTGCCGCTGTTTGGCGCTGCTCAGGGAGACGGGGAGGCGGTACTTCTCGGATAGGTACACATTGTAGCCATCAGGGCGGATCTCCTCCTCGAAAGCACAGTCTTCCTCCGAGTACTGGAACTGCAGAGAAAACAGGCAGCTCTGAGCAATCCACAGTGGACAAGGAACACGGGGGCACGTGGACATTTGTGCTTCGGACTGTCCCTGCTGGCCACCAGCAGTGGCCTTCCACATGAGCGTCACTTGCATGCTTTATATATGCTTGCTGACATACACACTGTATATGTAAGTATATATAAAACATGCCTTTACATGTATAAATATATATGATATACAGTGTATTTTAAGGCCAGGCACAGTAGCTCATGCCTGTAGTCCCAGCTCTTTGGGAGGCCCAGGCAGGTGGATCACTTCAACCAGAGTTTGAGACCAGCCTGGGCAACATGGTAAAATTCCATCTCTACAAAAAGCACAAAAATTAGCGGGGCATGGAGGTGGGCGCTTGTAGTCCCAGCTACTGGGGAGGCTGAGAAGTGGGAGAATGGGTTGCGTCTGGGTGGGGGGGGCGTCAAGGCTGCAGTGAGCAATGATCATGCCACTGCACTCTAGCCTGAGTGGCAGAGCAAAACCCTGTCTAAAAAAAACCCCATATATATATATATGTATATATATATATGCATATGTATATATATGTTTGTGTGTGTATGTAAATATATATACATACACATAAACGCAACACACACATATAATACAAATGTACTGTACATGTAAGTATATATATGTATATTATATTAATATAACATTAATACATTAAATGTATATTTATATATTTATATATCTTTATACATTCTTTGTAATCTTTATATATATACTATGTACACACACAAAATTGAGGTATATATTTCATATATGTATATTTTATGCATATATGTAATACTACATATGTACTACATATAGACCCAAATAATTTCCACTAAATTACCTCACTTTTTCAAGAGTCTTGTCCTGAGCAATAATATCCATCAACTCACAGGAATGCTGTCCATGTCTCCCTTACCCTTTGCATTAAATACATAACTCCTGGCGTTTAAAAAGTTCCTGGGCATTTCACTGGCACTTTGGGAAACACAGAAACACCGGGTTATCACTCAGGTTAGGTCTTTTAAATGACGTGTAATCCGATCTGGAGCCCAGACTAACGCAACGGTTCGCCGCCTATCTCAGCAATCACTGTGTGCCTTTATCATTCTAAGGCCTTCTGGTCTGCAGCAGTTCCAACAACCATCAGCCCCCGGTCTCCTCCATTTAGTCACTAAAGGCCTTCCAGGCCCGCCGCCAGGAGCCAGGTCTCAGCAGCCCCTCCCCCAGGCCTGGCCAGGCCAGGCTGGCGCCCAGCTGGTGGCCGGAAATGTGTGCTGAGGGAAGGCAGTCCCTGGTCTTAGAACACTCATAGTCCACGGGGTTGAGAGGTGCCAGTGGGCAAGTGCAGTCCCACGCTGGTGTCATGACCCCTTGACAACCCAGGACAGGCAGTACACGGCAGGCCGGCCTCCGTCGGGTTTCTGCCTAAGTCTGCAAAGGTCACTGAACTGCAGGTGACTGAGGATGTACCTGTGCCAATAAGCTCCTGATAAGAGACGCATTGCAGCAACCAGGCTCCTGCCGAGCCCACGGAGAGCTGGGACAAAGCACCGGACAGCACAAACGATTTCTCCCAAACTCCCAGAAATGCCAACTGATAAACAAACAGGGAACAGAAAACCAAATGACTGGAGACCTGCTTCTATTTACTCAGCTAGTCCTTTGGGAGAAATTAGTATCACTTTCTCCATACAAAAATGAAATGACTTCAAGCTTCTAGAAGAATGTGAAATTTCTATTTAAGAAAGAAAGAGACTGGGTGTGGTGGCTCATGCCTGTAATCTCAGCACTTTGGGAGGCTGAGGCGGGCAGATCACAAGGTCAGGAGTTCAAGACCAGCCTGGCCAGCATGGTGAAACCCCATCTCTGCTAAAATTACAAACAATTATCTGGGCATGGCGGTGTGTGCCTGTAGTCCCAGCTACTTGGGATGCTGAGGCAGAAGAATTTCTTGAACCTAGCAGGTGGAGGTTGCAGTGAGTCATCACGCCACTGCACTCCAGCCTGAGGGACAGAGTGAGACTCCATCTCAAAAAAAATGAAAGAAAAAGATCCTCAATCTGTGTTAAACCATGCACAGGGGATCAAGAGGCACAATGGTGCCAGGTCTGTGGCTCATGCCTGTAATCCCAGCACTTTGGGAGGCCGGGGCAGGCGGATCACTTGAGGTCAGAAGTTCGAGACCAGCCTGGCCAACATGGTGAAACCCGGTCTCTACTAAAAATAAAAAAGTTAGCTGGGCATGGTGGTAGGCACCTGTAATCCCAGCTCCATGGGAGGCTGAGGCAGAAGAAACCCTTGAACCCGGGAGGGACAGGTTGCAGTGAGCTGAGATCGGGCCACTGCACTCCAGCCTGGGTGACAGAAAGCCTCTCAAAAAAAAAAAAAAAAAAAAAGGCACAAATGGATTTTAGGTCATCTGTGCCCCCATCCCCAATTAGGACAGAATGGGGGTTAGGTTGACGTCCCCTGCTGCCCTCCCATCATTAGGAGCCCCCCCCCCATAACGAATGTCAAAATTAAAGTTGCAAGGGTGGGTTTGAGTGGCTCTGGGTGGGAGTCAGAGCTCAGCGGGCCGACCACCCCCTTTCCCTGCAGTCTTCTAGCTCAGGGCTCCGAGTAAAATCTGAAACAGGCACTCTGAATACACGGAGCACCGCACAAGCACCGAGCAATCTGGAGACTCTAAAATGCTTTGTCCCACTGTTCACAAAGGAGCTGGTTGGGCCGGAGGCGGCCCCGCCTCTGTATCCTTTCTGGGGTGGGGGGCCGGGGCAGGGGCGGCCACGCCCGCCCTGGCCCCTGCTCCGCCAGGGAGCCCAGGGCTGCGTGTGAGGCCTGCGCGGGCCAGACCTCACACAGCCTCCTCTGCGCGCCGGGCCGCGGGAGGGGCGCGGGTTCGTTCCTTTGAACTCCCAGCCTTTGTTCCTGGCCATCAGAGCTCCGGCATTCATACACTTCCGGCGGGGACCTCTGCGGTTACCTGGGCCTTCCCAGCCCGCTCCCACCCCGCCCCCACCAGAAAGCGTTGACAGGACAGGTAAGGCCCGCGGGAGGAAAAGCCCTCCTCGGGTGGAACGTGACTCCAGCGCATCTGCGTCTGAACCACACCATGATCCTGGTGGATTACAAATTCATTCTAAAAAACTCGCCCATCCCCAATGCACTGTCTTCTGCCTTACTTGACAATCGATTTGTTCTTAAACGAAAGTTGTGGATAGACCCTCTTTTTTCTTTTCTGTTCTTTTTTTCTTATTTTTATGTCGGAGGGAGGGAAACGGAGGCGAGGACCACACACGCGCAGGCGGAGGCTGAAAAAGTCCGAGGTGGGTTTTCCTGCTTAATATCAAAGGAGGCCGAATAGCGGGTTTCCTCGGTCCGGCTGGGCGGGCCTTTGGCTCAACTGGAAATGCAAAGACGGCTTTTGCCTCTTCTCCAGCTACTGGCTGAGACCCTAAATTTCCGTAGAAAATCGTGGGACACGCGCTTAGTCGACCCTTGCAATCTTTCCCTCGAAGCAACACACGGATTTGGGCGGAGGAGGTGAGGAAACCCTGGATTCGAACCAGCACCTTTCCCCCCTTCAGGCCTCTGCCCAAGGCCAGTGGTCGGTCCCCTGCCCCGGGGCATCCTCCCCGTAGGGACACTTACCAGCCCCTGCAGCCTGCCGTCGGCGCCCATGCAGAGATACCGCACGCTGTGCACGCCCTTGATGGCCACGGTCCGCAGAGCGACTGCCTTGATCTCCAGCAAACCTGGGCGCAGGAAAAGCGAGAAGCTGCAGCCTGGACCTGTGGGGCCCGTACCAAGTGGGTGGGGTCGGTCCACGCGCCTGTGCCCCTCTCCAGTGTCTCGTGTTGTTTGGGGACTAAGGGAGGGATTCTAACGCTCAGGTACCAAAACTTGGGGTTCCTAGGAGTTGAGGGGTCCTCGGGAGCCTAAGGTGGCAAAGGAAGGGGTGCGCGCGGCGGGGCGGGGGTGAGGTCCCGGCGGGCACTCACTGTGCGCGCTCTGGCCCCGCGCGCAGTCCACGACGCCGTCGGTGCGGATGCGCAGGAAGCAGCTGGAGAGGCCGTGGGGGCCAGAGGTGTACAGGTGCCGCAGGCGGATGGGGTCGCCCCAGCCGTAGTGCACATGTGGCCCCGCGTCCGAGAAGGCGAGGGGGCGCCCGAACACAGCCAGCCAGAGGCCAGCCAGGATCCAGCCGTGGACCACCACACACCCGCTCCGCATGGCACCTCCCTGGAGCACTCGGCGCAGCTCCGGCGACTGGGATGCGGGAGGCAGGGAGGCGGCCGGGATGCGCTGCGGGGCTGCGAGTGCCGGGCTGGGATGGCCGTGGCCCGCGATCCTGGACGCAGCACTCCTGCTCCGACGGCGCGGCAGCCCCGGGCCGGCAGCCTTATATAGCGACTTACGGGGCCCGCGTAGGTGCCCAAGACACCCCAGCATTTCTTATCGGGATTGCATCACGCCTCCACCCCCCGCACACACCCACTCACACTCCGCCTCCGGCCCCAGCCCCCCCGCCCCCGGGACCCGCGGCAGTCAAGCAGGCGGCGGCTTCTCGTCCCAGCCCGGGTGACCCCGCCCAGGCTGTTCCGATCTGCTGGAGGAGGAGGCCTCGCTCAGCGGCTGGGTTTCGGGGAACTCCTTCTCACCGGGCAATGGCCCGAGGTTCTCGGCTGGGAGTTTGATTTTGTAAAGCAATCGACCACTGGGGCCCCTCCCCCAGGCCCGGGGCTCCCGGTGGATGCGCTTGGCGCCAGGCACTAGCAGGGGCGGGGTCGGGAACCCCGGGGTCAGAGGCTGGGGGGCCCCCCCCGAGCTTCGCCTCCTTCACTCTCTGTCGGGAAAAGCCTCACCTCGGCCTTAGGGCCCTTCCTCTTAAAAGGCCACTCGCCCCCGCCCCGGCCCCACCGGGCGACTTTCCCAGCCCCGCACATCTGATGCCAAAGCCGTCCAGTAAAATTTCACCCGCAGTTCCTACCGTCTCAGGTTCTTTCCGCTTTATCTTCCTGAAATTCCTGCCCCGCTCCTTTTATCCGGGTTAATTGCCCCCCGACGGGGGGCCCGGCGCTCTCTTGGCGCGGGCAGGGAAACAATGGGAGCCGCGCGGGCTGTAGGTGGCGCCGCAGCCTCGGCGTCGGCCTGGGCTTTTGCGCTCCTGGCCGCGCGCCCCTGCCTGCTCCGCGCTCGTCCGGGCCCCGCGGCTGTGCCGGGATGCAACCCGAAAGGGGGCACCGGGAAGGAGGCTCTCGGGCAGGGTGGGCGGGTCAGCGGCGGGACCGAACCCCAGCTTCTCGGCTGGAGGGTGGTGGAGGCGGGGGCTCGAAGAGGGAGGCCTGGGCCTCCGTTTCCCGGTGTTTGAGCTGTCATGTGTCGGGGGTCTTGTCCTTGAGTTCCCGAGTCCCTGCGCGCGGGATGAGGGGAGCGGCACGGTCGGGGAGGTCCGGAACGCCCTACCTGGTGGGGAGGGGTCGGGAAGGGGGTAAGGAATGGTGATAAGCGCTCCTGGCGTCCAGACAGGTGCCAGGTGAAGAAAGAAACAGGGCCCACTCATGAAGTGGTTCCTGCAAATAAAGAAAACGACATCCAGAGAATACCCTGGCGGGGAATAAAGTGGTCGTCCCAGGGGTCTTTGGCTTAACTCGAATTATTTCTTGTTATTCTTCCAACCCCCCAGCTCCTGGATGTGAGGCCCCAGGAGCTGGGGTTTTGGGGCAGAGCTCTCCTGGCCCAGCGCGCAGGCGATGGGGAGGGCAAACGGGAGAGACAGCAAGAGAAATGCCAGGCCTAATGAATTTCAATGAGCAGAGGCCACATTCATCCTCCAGTCAGTGACTGGCGTTAATGACTGAGGGCGCAGCAAATGTCACCAGGAAAGTCTTTACCAAAAGACATCATCCCAAAGGCTTTCTAGACCAGGGACCCTCACGCTGTGTGTCTTGGTTCAGAAAGCCGTGGCTTCTGTTAAATCTAATTACTTCCCCCCTGTGGCTTTAAATCGACGGCGGCTCCTATTAAAGTTAATTATCCTCCCCTGCAGCTTTCGTTTTAAAGATCTGTGGTAAATGCGTGATAAATGCTCTTGAGGGCGATGGCAGAGGCTGCACTGGGGAACACGATCCAAAACGGTGGGGACGATGGCAGCCTCTGGTTCCACCCCTACCGATCCACAGCCCTTTCCAGGGACATGGGGAAGAGAGTGACCCATGCGATCAGAGGGCATGGGGAAATGACGAAGGCGGCCTCTGTGTCCTAGGCGCTGTTCTGAGCACATTCGTGTAATCAATGAAGATTGGATGTTCTCAGCTCGATCCTTCACAAGAGCCCTACGGGATTCTATTCCCCATTCCCCCATGGAGCAGGAGGGAAATGGGGGCCCCAGAAAAGTGGTCGAGTGACCCAAGGTTGCACACCCTGTGAGTGGTGAAGTTGGAATTTGAACCCAAACAGTAGGGCTTGTAAATCCAGGCTGTGCTAGTCTCACCCCGGGACAGGGGCTCCCCAGGTCAGACCCACTGCGGCCACGCCCTGGGCAGATTGTGACTGCTGGCCTGTTGCCCTCTCAGCTTGCTGTCAGGCTTGTCCTGAGGGTCACAAGGAAGAGGGGACAGAGAGGGCCTGGGATGTAGTGCTTATGAAGGTAGTGATGGCAGGCCTTGAGGGCCGCTGCGTACCAGCCATTTCACAGGTACAGCGCTGCTCTGAGGACTTACGGGATGGATCCTGCTCACGTGAGGAAGCTTTAGGTTACACAGATGGACGGCCAGGCCTCGAGAGTTTGCCCCAGGTGGACCCGGTACCCAAGCCTGGGTGTTTGCTGGGCTCCCTGGGACAAGGCAGCGCAGGCCAGCAGGGGGCTCTCCAGGTGAGAGCAGAGGTGTGGTGAGGGCTGAGGTCCTCCTCCCATGCTGCTCTGTGTACCTCGGGGCCTCTGAAGCCACCAGAGGGCTGCACTGGGCTGATTTTGATTTTCAGGTTGCATTTGATTTGCCTCAGGTGGCTAGGCCGGCTGAATTGCCCAGGTGGGGTTTCATTCACTGAGTGCCATGGGCAATGGCGAGTAGAATCTGAGGCACCCCGATGTCCCACTCACCCAGGCGGGGGCACGGGGTCTCCCACCCTGGTCTCCGGAAGGACTTGGCTTGGTGGCTTTGTTCTGGATTTGATGTTAGCTATTACTTTTTCTTTAGCCGCCCTGTAGAACTGTAAATTCTTTCTCGGGGGTCTCCCTTCTTCTCTCTGAGGGTGTAGAGGTTCCTTCTTCCTGATTGTGGCAAATGAATGACTTCCATTATTTCTAAACCCATGTCCCAACGTCTAAGAAAATCTCGTTTGAAAATAATAAAAAGTAAAATCCTGTTCGGCTTCACCTCCAATTTTTACATTATGAAAATAATAGTTTTCCGTTCATTTTACAGTTAGAAATGTATGTTACGCTGTCAAATGTGCATCCTGCTACATCAGCACTCCCTGGAGCCCCTCCCAAACCCCCTGCCCCCAACTTGTGATTGAAAATTATTTTGTCGTTGGAGAAACTTCTGCGTGTGGTAAAAATCTTTATCAGAAAATAAGAACTGCAGGATAGCGTGGGATGAAGAGAGCTGTGAACGCTGAGGTGATCGAGGCCACACCCCACAGCTGGTTCTTGGCTACGCGGAGGCTGAGACCCAGGGGCTTCTGAATCTCAGCCCAGTATTTTTGCTAGAACCTGCTAGAACATGCATTATTTCCCCCAAGACTTTCTGATTCACCAACACCCATTTTTTCCCCCTATATGCATCGTTATTCCAAAATGAGGCCACCCAGCTAGCCCAAAAATTGGCAGACACTATGACAGGGTAGAAAAAGGAAGATGTCTTTGAGATTCCATTTTCTCATTTGTACAACAGCAAAAGGAATGCCTAATTTACAGGGTTAATATGAGCATTAGAAAAGACATCCCCCGGGGCCGGGCGCGGTGGCTCACGCCTGTAATCCCAGCACTTTGGGAGGCCGAGGCGGGTGGATCACGAGGTCAAGAGATCGAGACCATCCTGGTCAACATGGTGAAACCCCATCTCTACTAAAAATACAAAAAATTAGCTGGGCATGGTGGCATGTGCCTGTAATCCCAGCTACTCAGGAGGCTGAGGCAGGAGAATTGCCTGAACCCAGGAGGCGGAGGTTGCGGTGAGCTGAGATTTCGCCATTGCACTCCAGCCTGGGTAACAAGAGCGAAACTTCATCTCAAAAAAAAAAAAAAAAAAGATATCCCTATCTATCAAGTGATCAGTATGTATAAGCTAGAGACTGCTGGGTACCTGTAAAGCGCGTAACAGAAGGTGAGCAATTGTTATCTGTGGAAATGCTGCTCTCTGGCGATCTTTGCTACATTTATTACTTATTTTAAAATTTAATGGCAAGTCTAGAAGAAGATATATAGCGACAAAAAGTTGGATGGAGATTCACTGGAAAGGGGTAAACAGAAGATGAAAATATCCTCTCTCGATTGTGGTGGTGAATAAACAGCCAATGACGTTTGTCAACACTCATTGAGCTGTTCCCTTAAGGTGCGTTTTTATGTTTGTTTCAGAGTCATTTCTATTAAATTCTAGAGTAAACTGTGTCTGAATTTTAAATAAGCATTAATAGATACTTTTTTCTTTTTCCAGTTGTTTTATTGTGTTTAAACATAAACAACGTAAAATTTACCATCCTAACCACTTCTAAATGTACAGTTCAGAAGAATGAATACATTTATAAAGTTGGGTCAAACGTCATCACCATCCATTTCCAGAATTCTTTTCACCTTCTAAAAATGAAATTCAGCTGGCGTCGTGGCTCAGGCCTGTAATCCCTGAGATCAGGAGTTCGAGACCAGCCTGACCAATATGGTGACACCCCGCCTGTACTAAAAACACAAAAATTAGCCAGGCATAATGGCGTGAGCCTGTAGTCCCCAGCTACCTGGGAGGCTGAGACAGGAGGAGAATTGCTTGTACCTGTGAGGCAGAGGTTGCAGTGAGTCAAGATTGAACCATTCCAGCCTGGACGACAGAGCACGACTTTGTCTCAGTAAAAAAAAAAAAAAAATAAATAAAAAAAAATAGTCACAAAAAAAAAAAAAAAAAAAGAAAGAAAGAAAAAAAAAGAAAAATAGAAAAAGAAAAGAAAGAAAAAGTCTACAAAGAGTGCATTGTATTTTAAGTTATACCTCAATACGGTTGACTTCCAGCATTTTCATTGTAAAAGTACTTCTATTTGGGTGAATTTCTTCCTCAGACTTTAAAAAAGTATGTATGGGCCCAGTGCAGTACCTCACACCTGTAATCCCAGCACTTTGGGAGGCTGAGGCGGGCAGATGACTTGAGGTCAGGAGTCTGACACCAGCCTGGCCAACATGGCAAAACCTTGTCTTTACAA